GTCGTCTCCCACGTCGGGCCCCCGGTGCTGCCGTCGCTGGACCCCAGAGCGGCTCGGGCCTCGCACGCGGCCGCCTCCCCGCTCCCCATGGCTGCATCCGGCCAGGGGCCCCAGTCTGCCCGTGCGTCTGATCCTTCCCCTGCCCACGTCAGCGCTGAGTGCCGGCCCGGGGGCTCCAGCCCTGGTCGCGGCATCGGGATCCTCCTGGCCCCGTGGTCCCGTCCTTCCCGCTCCATCACCTGCAGCCTGCGCCGAGGCCTCGGTGGGCCCGTTGGAGCGCAGGCCCGGTGAGCTGCACCCCTGCCGTCCCGGCACGGACCCCGCTAATACTTACCCTTTGCTTGCAGCTATGGAGCCGGGCGTCTGCGTCAGCCCTTCCTCCTCCACACGCTTGCACGCTTGGACCTGCCAGGTAGAAAAGTGAGGTGACCCAGGGCAACGTTCCCTGGGTCCTTGCCTTTCTTAGAGAGGGGCATTGCGCGGACCCTCTCCTGTCCTCTGTTCTCTGGAGATCATTGCAAGGGCGCGGAGATCTCCTCTGCCCGTTCCTGCGGGACCCTGGGACGAAGCCCACCCGGCCCGGCGGACCTGCGTTCATCTGGAGCCCCCCAAAGCTCTGACGGTTTCTTTCCTTATCTCAGACCTCAGCTTCCTTGTCCAATACATAGGATCTGTCATTGGCCTTCAGGGATGTGAAGACTGATCAGCCCTCCTTGGTCTTTTCCTCTCCAGCCTGTCGCCCCCAGGAAGCGCAGCCTGTCCTCAGCACCCGTCTCTCCCTGGCCTTCATCAATTTTGTCACCCTGTGCTGGGCTTCTGCCCCTCTGTCCTCTTCAGCTCGTGGTCCTCCGTCCCGGCGGCCCCTCTGCATTTTCCTTAAATGGCTTACTCTATGAAGCTATAAGCAAAAGCATCAACCCAGGAAGAGGCTCAATATTGAGCCTCTAAAGACCCTGCCAAAAGTGACCGTCCCACACACCCGTAGTGAGACGCTCTGCAACCTCCCGGCTCATCACGGCACCGCTGAGCTCCGGGAAAGCCTCAAGGAGAGCAGCCACGAGGCACGTCGAGACTCCGGGCTTCTCCGCAGAGAGACATTGGGACTGGGGCGATGAGAACGGGAGGGAAATGCAAGCTCTGGTTGATGGAAAGAGAAGAGCCCTCGAAGCTTGGCAAAACGAGCCCTGCTCCCAGCAGAAGCACGATGGTTATTGCCACCACGGGGGGTGGTGTAGTCCAACCCCTGCTCCGAGCAGGACCAGCCCCAGCCCCAGCTACATCATCCCAGCCAGGGCTTTGTCCACCCAGGTCTTCAAAACCTCCAAGGATGGAGACTGCACCCCCTGTTCCAGCGCTTCACCATCCTCCTCGTGAGAGTTTTTCCTAATATTCAACCTCAACTTCCCTTGCTGCAGCTTGAGCCCATTGCCGTGTGCAGGCTTGAAGGGTGGGCCGTGTCAGCGCCCGCCGGGCTGGGAGCGCCGTGGCCTGCAGAGTTCACGTGCCAGACACCAGCTGTTGCTGCCGCAGGTTCTGGGCAATCAGCATAGTCGCTCGTTATACTCCGGGGCAGATCTTCCCAACCTGAACAAGTCCTTTCCTACTTTGGCTCGTTGCGCCTTGCGCTCAGCCCCCTGCGGCATCTCTGGGTAACCCGTCCCAGTGCTTCACCACCCTCCTGCTGAGAAAGTTTTTCCTAAATCCAACCTCAACGTCCCTTGCTGCAGCTTGAGCCCATTGCTCCTTGTCCTGTCGTCTGCCCCCACTGAGAACAGCCCAGCTCCATCCTCTTTGCAGCCCCCCTGCAGGGAGGTGAAGGCTGCTATTCAATCCCCCTCGGTCTTCTCCTCTGTAGACTACACGGGTTCATTAGAGGCAGGTCCTGTCAGAACAACCTGGTGCCTTCTACGACCAGGTCACAAAATCCTTGGACACATGTGTCGTGGTAGAAATAGTCTTTCTGGACTTCAGGAAGGCCTTCGACACTGTCTCTCACCCCATGCTCATTAAAAAACTAGGGGACTGTGGCATCGACACCTACACAGTCAGGTGGGTCGCTAACTGTCTGGAGGGCCGCACCCAGAGGGTGGTGGTGGACGGATCTTATTCGACCTGGAGGGATGTGGGCAGTGGGTTCCCCAGGGCTGGTCCTCGGGCCCACACTGTTCAACATCTTCATCAGCGACTTGGACGAGGGGGTGAAAAGCACCCTGTTCAAATTCA